TAAGAGGGAAAAGGAAATCACTAAAGGATAGTGAGCACCTGGCTGCATTCTTCAGGGCCTTTCCTTATTTTTATTATCATGTAATTAATAGTTTCTTCCTAATATGAAGGCTGGTTATAATCCTCTTTATATTATACACGAATATTAATCCAAGATCTCACTACATCACCCCTCTTCATGAACAACAGAAGCAGGAAGACCCAGTGGTTGAGCAACGCATGGCCTGCCTGCCATTGCATCTAACTTTTCTGTTATGCTTCATCTTCCCATTCCTCATTTTCTGTCACACCATCGTGCTTCAGCACATGTTCACAATGCCAACCTTTCTTTCTACTGCTAGAAGAGCTGGCTCACCCATTTCTGCCTTATGCCTATATAGCAGCACAGGAACATTTATAGATATTATTTTGGCCATATGCTCCTCTTCCTCATTCCCCTTTCCAAGTGCTCAGGCTAATATCCTGTTGCTTTCTTGGCACATATTTCTATGATCTCACAGCCTACCCGTCCACCAATTGCTGAGGAAGGTATGTGCATGATCCTAAGACACCAATTGGCTGAAGTCTCACTGATGCCTGTGGTATAAATTTAATCCCTACTTCCCTACCAGGAAAAAACAGAAAATCCTGACTACATCTTGCTGAATTATACCACTCCTTTCTGTTGCTTTCTGCAGTAGTAATCCATCAGATACTCTCTCTCTCTCAAGAAAAAAACAACATATTCCAATTGAGCATATGTTTAGATAAACAGAGAAGGAGCACAGCACTTGCTGACTGCTCGGACAAAGCATCTCTCTCAGTTACCAGTTAATTTTGTCCAGCTTAATTTTCAGTATTCTCAGCAATCCTAGAAACCATGCTATGATACCAGAATCAAGTCCTGTGATGCTACCCCCAGATTCCTGGGAATAAGGGCCAAAACTTGTGTTTATGCACATACTAGAATTTGTCTCCAAAACAGACTAATACAATCCCGTACTGTGTCTATTTTAGGATTAAAGATGCCTATCACTGCAGAATCTAAATGCCATATAATAATTACAGATAACACTATGTCCCTTAAAAAGCAGTGCACTCAGACTCCCTTGTTCATTGTGTGTCTGTGTGGAAACTTCCCTTCTGCTTCCCTTCTTGCCCTTCACTTCCTTGCCTCCAGCTGTGAGTTGGTCCTGGCGAAGTTCCCTTACTGGAAGAACATTTCATCAACGTGGTGGGTAGCACATATAGACCTGAATATTGTCAGGCCTGGAATTAATCCACCTCCCTTAAGATTTTCTCCAGCAGGGGACAAGACACCAAAAATCTTGGCAATGTTGTATTCTGGACCAATTGGTTTGACACGGTATACCTAGCATAAAATTATACATTTTTTTATACTATATAGTTATTATTCATTAACCTAAAGATATAAACAGTAAGAAAGAACCATATGGAGACACACACAAACCACTCCTGGAAACTAAATCTCTAAATGACCAGTTTCAATGGAAAGTGCTCACAAGAACCTAGGGAAAAGAGGAGGTGCTTTAGCTCAGGGCTCCGCTGCCTAGAGGGAAAAAAAGACAACACTCTTCCATTTTCAGGACTGCAGCTGGATAAAAACCATCTCAACAGGTTTTGCCTGTCATTTGTATCCACAGTACATAAAACATGAAATCCAAAGAGCAGCATAAAGGAAAAAAGCTTGCCTTGTCATATAGCATGCTAGAATAAAAACTGACTTATAACAAACTACAAACACCAGACTAGTACCCTAATTCCAAGCAGCCTTTTTGGTTTTGAAAAAATGTGTCTTCACCTGCAGCTACAGTTGACTCGAGGAGAGAGAGAAGGGTGGAGAGCTGGAGGCAGCTCTGCCTTTGTAGGTGGCCTGCCAAGAAGGAGATAAGGCCAGGTAGCTCCCAAAGGATCCTAGGACAATGAAGAAAACCAAAACATCTGACTGGAATAACCAGAATGCTAAGTAGCTCCCAGCTGTGCTGTACCATTTCTGATGCGTATTCATTCAATTATGAACACTGCCAGCCTATATATGTGTCAGTTACTGTAATCTCATACTTTTTTACATACAGATTTAAAACCAGCACCTTTTTATAATGAAAAATCTGACTTTTAAAATTTTTAAATCTTATCAATTTATACTTTCACCAAAGAAAATCTGAATTACATCTGACACTGGACACAGGATTAACATGCCCCTGCATCAATCACCTGCTTCAATTGTGATGTGATAATAAATATTTTTACTAATGGCCTAACTCAATTGAGAAAAGTGTATGAAACCAAATGAAATGAAGGTAAAACCTTACCTTTCAGATTCTTGTGCTTGTGATGCTTTACCTCTACCCATAAGACTAAAACAAGGGCAGAAGACCAAAGATAGGCCACCTAATTTTGTAAGACAGTTGCCTTAAACTTAAATAGGGAGCAGTTTTACAAGCAAAGACCACTGAGTTCATCATGAGCTGCATGACCGGACTGCACTGGTTGAGGAGACTTCAGATGTTATCTCCACTGTAAGGCTGCAGGAGGCTCTCACATTGTGTCAGGCAGCTGTGGGCCTGACTCTGACCTCAGTGATGCCTGTCTTAGTAATAATTACTATATTACAAAATACTTAACACTACATGGTATATGTTTGTACACGGGGTCAGTTTTAAGATGACACGGTGTGGGAAATGGTTCTTCTTCCCCACACAAGTCTAAACAAGATAGCTTTTAAGTCAGCAAAGCCCTTCTGCTGATTACACCCAGCTAACGACCAAAGCCAGGCCTGCTGCTCAAGGACAAATGAAGTCAAAACAACAGGTTTGGTACAAAGCAGGAAGGATGGGCAACAAGTTGTGTATTGACCCTGCTAGTTACTGCCCTAACTTGGGGCTCATGGATGCCAATTGGCTCTGGACAGTGACACTGGCTGCACAGGGGGGTCACTGGGGTACAAAAGGCAGCGAGTTAAGCAGGTAAAAAAGGGCGAGACCTGCTCGCACGCCTCCTGCCTGGGACACCCCCCTGCTGCAGAGCCTGTTGCGGGGCCCTGCCTGCCCCGGGGATGCAGCCTGAGCCTTAGGGTGAGCGGGCCGGGATCCTGAACGAGCCCTGGAGCACCGGGTCCTTCCCGCAGCCGTTGGGGGTGCAG